TAATAAGAAAATTATTAACATTCAAATGAGGTATCTGTTTCACAAAACGATAGCTTTCAAGAATAAAATTCAAACGACGTACAAAAAGACAAACGATTTTACGATAATTATCGTTTATCAAATTAAAGTAATAATAGTTATTATCTAATTTTCAAATTAAAAATCGATGTAAATAATATAAAAGCATACATACATCTGAACATAGAAACTCATTATTTTAGATTTGAAGTTATTTAAAAAGCATACAAAATGATCAAACGTATATGTTTTTGTAGCTTTGGCTTTTCGCGTATAACTGACCTTAAAGAGCACAGTAACAATCGCAGTATTGTGCATCATGATCGAGTACAGTTGCAGGAATGTTCGCGGCATGTACTGCTGAATAATGATGTCCACGGTGCGTTCCATATATTATAAATTGATATAATACGACTCAATAGGGTCTGTTGCTAAGTTCTATATTTGAAGTAGATGTCAAAATTCGATACATTTTAAAATTTTAGTACAAAAAGGTATAAATGCCAGGTAAGCCACGAAAAAAATTGTGACTTTATGGACCTAGTGCAGTTTCTGTGAGAGTAGAACAAATTTGGTTTAAGCGTTTTCAGTCTGGACATTTTGATGTCAAAGATGCATTTCGCTCCGGTCGCCCTGTTACGGAAAAGTGGATGCCATTTTCGAAAAGTGGAGTTACTACGTAGCTGAGGAACTGGAGAATGACCATAAAACTGTTTTGGCGCATTTGTAAAAAGTTGGATATTTGGGTACCCCACGAGATTACTGAAAGAAACCTAATTAACCGTGTACTCATTTACGATTCTTTATTGCGGCGACGTAATGAAAGCGAACCATTTTTAATTTTAAAAGAAGCTGATAATTGGTGATGAAAACTGAATCACGTACGACAAGAACGTGTGCAAAAAGATCATGGTAAAAGGTCGGTCAGGCTTCACAGACTGTGGCGAAACCCGGGTTAACTCGCAACAAGGTACTGCTGTGTGTATGGTGGGATTGGAAGGGCATTATTTCTATTTGTTTCAGTCTCTTCAGACTTCTTTAGGCAGTGTCAGGTTAACATCACGCGAGGACTGGCAAAACCACTTGTTGCGTTTATTTGATCAGAAACTCCAAAATTTCTATTGCAATAGGATCATGTTCTCATCTATAAGATGGCATAAACTTATAGAACAAAATGTTACCTACATACTTTAGTTAAATGTAAATAATACGTTTGAATTGTCATTTAAAATGCGAATAAACTTTTTCCCCAACCTATTATAAACTTACAGGGCTTACAAAAGCAGCGAGCAGCGACACATTTCAAAGAGTGCGTAATTGTAATTGAAGGTCAAGATGGATAAATATTTAAAATATATAGTATTGGACAACCTCAGAAGTCGGGGCGATGCTTTATTTAAACAAATATTACCTACTTGATAAACACTATTACATTTTTGCCATCTTTCATTCCATTGCCACCAATCAAAAAACTATATTATTTATGGTTTTTAGTTATAGTTTTTCAAAATGACTGCTATAGTTTTTCATAAGATGTAGCTTTTATCGCAATCAATGTTCTAATTTTTGAGATTCTTACATATGAGTTTGTAAATTATTACATTGAGTTTGTTTAATCATAATTACCTTATAGGAGTACACAAACTTATTGTTGAACGACATTAGAAATGACTTTTTATAATTTAGTATCCATTTCTATCTTGCATAATTAAATCATAATTAAATAACTTTTAAAATGCGCAGTCATTAACATAAGTCTTTTCTTTGTAACAATAAAATAAAATACAATAAGTCATAATAATCTGTACTGTTTACATGAATGTGCGAACATGGAAATTAAGTGTTTTAAATATGTAGTAACATTTCATAGAATAGGGATGATGACTGGGTAAAAAAATGCAATTCTATTTAGTCCGTCAGTCAGATAATAGAAAAATATTAGATACGTATTTTTTTTACTTCAATTTAACAAGAAATAGCTTAGATAACAGGCATTAAAGCTGAGGAGTGGGGGCTCGCTACGTCACAGTTGAGTAGAAAACGTACTCTAACGTGCCGTCATGCGAAATTTCAACTCCATGTAACGCCGTAATTTTATGATTACGAAAAAAATGAAAAAATACGTGTTTAATATTTTTTAACACTCTACCTGACGGACAAACAAACAAAAATTAGTCATCATCCCTATTACATTCTCAAGTCAATACTACACTTATTAACTACACTCATCATCATTTTACAAGTATCTTTATAAATCAAAGGAAGCCTTCTAAGTTGAGACCACCACAATTATTATTATTATAACAATTATTTTTTCCTATAACAGAGCAAGAAGAACAAGAGGTTCACTCACGCACAAGAGATTCCGTACGTTCACGCAGGGATAGTGGCAGAGGTGCCGTGGGTAAAAGGGAGGGAGAGTGGCAAATCTTCGACCTTTCTCCCGCGATGAGTAAGTTTGAACCATGGCAAACCCATGGAAAAGCCTTTGCAGCCTAAGGAAGAGACAATATTTTTCAGCCAGTACGTCAGTACGTCCGCACGCGCTTTCTCCAGTGATGAGTAAGTTTGAACCATTACGAACCAATGAAAAGGCCTTTGCAGCTTAAGAGAATAAGGCAATACCTCTAGGCTATTACGTCGGAAAATTCTGGAAGAGCTACACCTCCACGTACGCACCGTAAGATTATTTTCGATATTGTGTTACATTCGTGAATAAATTATTAGTTATGTCGCTATAAATAAAAAAAAAAATAAGTGATAATTCTATAATGTAATAATATCATATTAGTTTAATTTTATTATCGGAATTATTAATTACAAATAACTTCATAGCATCATAACGTTAAAAACTATTTGTAATGCTCATTTTATGTAAAGTATTTCGAAGAATTGGTGCTCCTTTCGCGTCCGATGGGAAATCATCGTAGTTACTTTAGTATAGATGGGCAACAACACTGTTTTATTATCTATCCGGGACACATATTTCATTTTTTAGATAAATGTAATTTTCTAGTCGATAGAATACATATATAATTTTTATGGACCCTTCGCTGAAAGTTTGAATTACGCTGTAAACTTAATAATGTTTGGCACTGAAAATACTTTAACCTTTACTCACAGACTATTTGTCTATGCTTTTAGGTAACATTTTTCAACACTTGCAACGGTTAGCGACATACGGACCGCAGAGGGTTGTATATAAGATCGCTAAATATATAAAACTACATAAAATTTTGGTGCTTATTTATTTTAATTAAGTAAATCTGCATCCTTAATATCAGTTGTACATTTTTAAACGTTGTGCTAAAGTAAAATAAAAAAAGGTCAAGGTTACTAACTATTTACCTATTACTGTTGACGACAGCTTTACCAGCCTCTAGATGGATTTGTATTTTTTATGATTGTGTCGCTTTTAATTGTTTGCTGGCTGTCTTGTTGTTATTGTCTTGTTATGTATTGTGTTCATCAGTGTTTATGAAATACATTTTTCTTGGTTAATTTATCTTTGAATTTAATAATGCAATCCATGCTCGTGTTGGCGATAATAGTTAACGAAATTTAACGACTTTTACGGCTTGATCAAGATAAAGATCGGGACGCCTATAATAATTATTCAATAGGTTTTTGGATCCTTTACTAATTTACTTGCCCAATATGCTCTTAGTTATACTATGTAAAGTAGTTTTCGTTTGTAGCTAAATGCGGAGGTTAAGCGATTTTCGCAAAGGCTAGTCGGTGGATGGGTAACCAAATATTTATAATCTAAAGTTCCTCCGTGCTTCGGAAAGGACGTTAAGCCGGTGGTCTTGACTGCATCTACAGTCATTAAGACTCACCTATCCGCACTGGGCTCACTTGATGGATTAAGGCTAATTTTCCCTATTTGATTCCATACGTTTTTGAAGTGCTAGTGTTAGGTCGAAGATAAATCATTTTTATAGCACACCATATTGTATAAATTTCTATAGGTATATTAAAATTTGATACCATTTAGTTTTTCCATTCTATGTTATTCATTATATAAAGTTTTCACCACCTGCCCACCTACTAGACGAGCGTTTTGCAAATTGTGCTCAGTAGACCTCTGTGATTCCGCAAATTATATATATATTGGATTCCACTAAACTATTTGGGATGGATAAGATACGGGTAGAACACGCGTTTGATACAGTGCAGTAGGCATAGTAGATAGTATCATTTGTTCATTGATCCCTTCAGGGACAGAATCCTTTGTTCCAAGAAGTACTATAAAGTGAAGAAAACTGTTAGGAAATTACGTCTGAGCAGTTCTACTGTTGCAGTTGCTTGAAAACTAACAAAATTCTCCTTATTAAAATGTAATCATTAGTCATGTGTAAAAGAGAAAATAAAAGAAAAAAAACATGCAATTTTGCGTGGCTTTGTTTTCAGTAAAGATTTAAAATGTGATTTACAGAAACAGTTCTATGAATTCTGCAGTTGATATTAAATCATAACTGAACAGCATTTGTGAATCCTCCTTAGCCACCCATAAGGAAGGCCTGAGCCTCTTAAGTGTGGACGTAAAAGGGGCTGATGATGATGATGATTTGTGATTGTAATGACGCTAATTCTTCTCTTCGTTTTTCCTAATTGTTTTTTAATTAATTCAACATGAGTTGTAATCACACAACATATTCATCCAGTTTAAACTTCGCCTGATTTTAAAATTATTGTAAGGATTTAACTGCCAACATTCAATGGTCTCTGTTATTTGATGTCGCAACTTGAAACATTCTTGAAAAATAAATTGCACGAGGTTCTACTGATAACCTACAGTAGAACTGAACTCAGACGTATGTTTTACAATCAATTCTATACAGTTCTATTTCGTCTAAAAGTAGAACCAACAGTAGAACATCTTAAAATATGGGCACACCACATTTATGGTATAGTACGGAGTAACAACAAAAATCTTTTAGAGTTATAGTGTTAAGACGTTTGAAATAAAAACAAATCATACGTATATTAATGTACTTTTATTTTTAAATAAATATAACCGATAACATTTATTACATCACAGGAGCAGGGTATCATAAAAACACAATCAAGATCATAGCAAATACGCTACCAACGAGTTTTTTATGGGAACCATAGACAAATCGGCGAACCCAGTCATGTATCTATGTTGTCTATGATTCCCCAAAAAAATATACCTCAATTGACAAATCCCTTACACAATATAAATAATTAATTAAACACTACAAAATATTATTTATATCGTTCGAAATAATACTTATTTGCGAAACAGTACAGTTGCATATAGAAGTTTGTTAAGTTTTTTTTTATTAATTGACCTAATGGTTGGATGCTATTAGGCCTCTTTGTGCGATTTAACTTAATATAAGCTTTACAACAATTATTGAAATAGAAAATCGACGTCAGTATATTAGGAGAAAACTTTTGAATTAACATATTAGTTTCTAATATCAAAATCGTTAAGCAAAAATGATCTAATCTCACGATTGCGGGTCTGCTGACTATGGTTTGTCTTTATTTCGGAACGAGTAACAGAGACAAAGCATACAAATCGATTTAATAAATAGATTAGATCATAATAAACAATATTCACAAGTCCATTAAAAATACAAACCGACTATGACTATTACGATCTGATATATATTTAATTTGAATTGTTTTCTGTGCATTTGTTGAAATATTTTTGCAAAAATAAACAATATAACAAATATTGTTTATTTTTGATTAACGCTTCGAAGAACGAAGTCGTTGGCTTTGGTTATTATTCAAAATTTTAGTAATTCAGATTTCACTAATGTTGAATTCTGCATTACTGTTGGTGGTATGTATAAGTAAGTTTTGTGGTTGGCTAGAATGTACTCAGTTACAATAAGCTTAATAATTTAAAATTTAGGTTAGAGTTCAGGAAGTTTAAGGGTTAGGTACCTATTCGTTTATATAATCGCTGTGAACAATTATTAAAAATATAAGTTTAATTTTATTTAAGAAAAATTAAAATATATTCTTGGTTCACACGTTGAAATGCACAAAAAACATTTCAATTATATAACTACTAATATAATTACGAAACCTAAAGATATGCATAACTAGAAACAGGTTAATAGATAGTTTCTACAACTAAATACACTTTTTACAATCCGTATTACAATCAAGCGAAATACCTAAGTTATTTTTAAATAGGTTTTATTTTTATCCGTACGATTTTTTATTTCGTTTTAAAAAAGTGTCGATTTCACTCGCATTTAGATAAAAGAGACATATTTATTCAAAAAAGTATTACATATCAATTCGACTATTCTGATTGTGTATTATATAGTTTGGAATATGTAAAATACTTGATTCTTTCTGAGCAGTCCAATCTTAAGTAAAATCAGCAATAAATAAAGATTTCGACAATTTATCGCATCGTCCCGAAGTAACTTGTCGTTTTTGTATTACCAGTGATTGCGGGAGAGCTTGCAGTAAATCATTCGAGCGTGCACCAATTTGATTAAGCATTGTGTGCCTAACTGTACCCGAGTGAGATGCTATGATTGATATCGACAACTCAATTGCCAATGATTATACGGCCGAGTTCAATAGTACACACTTTTTTGAAACGAAACAAGCTTATAAATAACATTACAACTTAGTAAAGCTAATAATACTGTACACACCTCCGTTAAGGTTAGGCCATTTAGATTAAAACCTCCACTTCCACTTTTGCAAACAGGAAAACGAATTAAGTACCTAAACTGTACAGTTAGCGGCAATGGTACTTTGGCAAGATTAACTTACGAAATTATTTGAAAAAATATAACTATTACAGTTTAAAAAGTCAGTTATTTTCTCCCGATTAGCATTATAACGTAGAAAATGTAACACTAGATACTAGAATCTAAAATTAAATATGCAACCCTTACCAATAAAGTTTTATTAATAAATGAGGTACGTTAAAACCATTGTGACTATACTTTGTGGAGATGAATCATCTACATTATGACCTAGATCTAATTGTACAATCGGCGAAATAATAGCCGATATCTGTCAAAACACTCAGTGACGTCATTTGACACATGGACACTCGAGAGACAGTGGCCTGTTGTACTTTAAAAACGTATATAAACATGCTCATATCCAATCTAAAAATAACACTTATACAAAAATGCTAGTAATGGAACGAAACACTTCGACCTACAATCAATAAAATCTATTTAAATAAATAATAATCATATACACATTTGTAATAAAATCCTAGGATGGGAAATTCACAATATAAAAAAATACGAAAGATTATTGCATTTTTTTGGCATAAAAATGTACGCGTTATACAATGTGAATTGTGATTGTGATGTTACTTATTTTTATTATTAAAACATGATTAATGATATATTATTATTAGACAGCACGTATATTATTGGCAGTTACAGTTAAAAGAGCTATTTTCATTTCACATTTTGCACGGAAAAAGACGGATTATTACGGTCAAAAAACAAGAACACAACTTTAGCGACCCTTTGGCGGTTCTCACGGTTGCGTATTTTTTTATCATTGGCTGTACGTGTGTGCGCCTTGGTCTGCTTTGTTTTTCAAAGATAGCGGCTAGTGGCAATTGATGGCACGGCGCTGCAGTCGGCGTATGCGTCGATGCCAATCGTCACGCCACTCCAGAAGTAGGGTTCTTTCACCCACCGTTAAACCTGGTAGTCCTGATGAGTATCCTTCTTTTTCCACTCCTAGGATTAGGTATGATCTGTTGGCCAAGTTAAGATTTAATAGTTATTACACGAAGATTAAACTTCAAATCATGATGAAAAGTGTTGAACTTTCTAAAGACCACCCAAATAAACAAAAACTCTCATTTGTCTGCTTGAAAGTTTTAATAAATATTATTTTAAAAGGTTTTATGTATAAGGTCTTTTTGAAGAAAAAAATGAGAGGTCTATGTATGGTAAGTAAGTTGAAATAATACCAGTGATATATCGAGAGGTAAAATCGATTACCGTCGTATGAATATATAGTAAAAGTAGAAGATACATGCATATGACCTAAAAGGTGATTTAGCTCGTATGGATACTATAGATTTACGAGCCTTTTACACAATTTTTGAATGAATGAATGAAAAATTCTTTATTGTACACCAATGGACAAAAACAAATATATGGATACAATAAATGTGAATGCACAATTGTCGGCCTTATTACTAAAAAGTAATTTCTTCCAGGCAACCTTGTGAACTGAACGAAAATTATAGCTAAAGTAGATTAGAATAGGTTAGCTTATGGTGTCTCAAACTTTTGTAAACAACCTCAACCTAAGACTCCATAGACTACAGCTACAAATGAAAAAGCTGTTTGATTTGTTTGATGGATATGTATCAAAGTAGCTCGGTGGCGTAGTGGATAAGCGCCGCGGCCCGCGATCGTAGTCGTTAAGCAACTTTCGCAAGGGTCGGTCTCAGGATGGGTGACCAAAAAATTATCATCTCGAGCTACTCCGTGCTTCGGAAGGCACGTTAAGCCGTTGGTCCCGGCTGCATTTGCAGTCGTCAATACCCTCCAATCCGCATTGGGCCAGCGTGGAGGGTCATGGCCCATCCTCCTTAACCATCCATAAGGAAGGCCTGAGCCCCTGCAGTGGGGACGTAAAAGGGCTGGTGGTGGTGGTGGTGGTATGTATCAAAATGTGTACAAAAATTTCAGTTGTCCATAGAAGTTGTCAGAGTTAAAGTTGGGAAAGAAGATGGATACTCGGAGACTCGGTTTTTATAGAGTGCCCGGATCTCGGGGCTTATCTCCTCGGAAAGAGTATGCCTTAGGGTTTTAAGCAGAAGTAAAAAAGGTTAGAGTAATGATATTGATAGTAGTATGAGCTTACTTATTAATCTTGATCTTAGGGCACTTGCAGGCGAGGTCGCGCGGGCGCACGTAGAGCGCGGTGGTGCCGCGGCGCAGGCGCGAGCGAGGCGCGCGCTTGTACACCGCTTGCACGCTCAGCGTCAGCCGCGCCCACTCGCCGCCCGCCGCGACCCCGCCCCCGACCCCGTCGCTCGTCTCGCGCCCTACCACTTTGCCCATTATGACTGCAGAGAGACCATAGATGAGTGGTGGTATTTCATTGCTATTAAATCTGTACACTAAGTACAAAATAAATGAAATTCTTAACATAAACATCACCTTACGAATGTAATGGCGGCGTCGTCCATGTCAATGAATAACACAAGGGGTCATTTAATTCCTGCCCTGCGATTCTGTAAAATCCAGACCTGAACTCGAATTCACTCATGTGTCCGAATTCACGTAATTTAATCTAGAAATACTAAATACTTCTATTTGTTTTTCTCTCTGTGTTTATTATGTATTGATCTAGTAATGACATGGTTTTTGTAAATGTCATTACTCTTATTAAAGCTGGTGGGTTTCTTGCTGGTTCTTCTTATCAGCCAAAAGAAGTTCTGAACGAGTGGTGGGAAAAAAAATGTTGGACGATTCAAAAGTACTTTTAAGAAGTCTATTTGAATAAAGATTATTTTGACTTTTGACTTTGACTTGACTAAACAAAATTGATTGATCATACGTATCTCAGATATTTTAATCCTATATAATTTCGAAACTCACTTCATTTATGCCACGAAACGTTATAAGCAATTCAAGTTTGAGCGGATGCCACTTTTCGAAGTGAATTCAAACACCTGAGTGGATTCGAGCTCGCGTTTGAATTTTTACAGAATCGCAGAGCTGCTCAGTATTTTCGTGCCGAGGTTAGGTACTGTTTTCTATATTTAAGAATCCATAGAATAATTAAGAAAAATGTGAGACAGTTTTTCACTTCTGTCTTATACACATTGATTTAATACTAATTAATATTGTTAACAATCAAATAAAATGGCTTCTCCTGAGAGCCTCTCCCTCCGCGTTTTAACCGCGCACGCGAATCAGAAACAGCTTTTGAAAAATGCGGTGCAACCAGGCCCTGTGGGGCAATTATATGCATCTTATAATTTTAGATAAATATAAAAAGATAATTTTAGATAAATAGTAACTACATATTTATGAAAAAAGGCGAAAACTTCAAAACAACTATTATGAGAATCTATAAAGCCTTTTTAAATTATATTATTTGATCCATTTTGCATTCACAATGCTATACTGAAAATCTTTCAGTATAGCATTGTGATTATGATTGGATTTTAAAGCATTTTTCATTTGACTCTTAATGAAAAATGCTTTAAAATCCAATCCAATTGCATCCAGAGTCCCATCTCAGAGTGCAAGGGACAAAGAGGATTATTAAAGAATTTTCCATTAAGAAGACTTTTTCAAATTTCCTATTTGTATACTAACTCACCGTAATCTCGGCTGCAGAACTTGTTGAGGTTTAGTGTGCGTGCGCCGGCGCGGCACCGTCCGCACTGATCCGCTGCTAAACGCAAATAACGTACAATTCAATGAATCTGCCAACATTCTTCTATCAAACAGATTTGGTTTCCAAGACGACCAATCTACTATTCTATTCTGTAATGAAAACAGCCTCGAATTCGAAGTCGAGTACTGTCGTTTTTGAAGCAGGTTTTATTGCAACAACTTTTTTATAGAATAGTACTGCTGGTCTGGTAAATAGTATTGTTTACAGGTTTTTACGGCTTGATAAAATTTAAGGTTCCATTTTACACTAAACTTATTTTCACGTCGCTTGTATAGAAATTCATATGATCGAAAATGAAGTTAATATTAATTAAATGTTTGTTATGTAATAAAACATCGATTATTATATTTTCAGTTAGATGTAAATGAAACGATTTACCTTCTTCGTCACTGATAAATTAACACAGAAAAAAAAATGATTATGAACATGAAGATAGATGAATAAGCGAAAACAATTAATAGTAATACGACAGGAAAATGTATTCAACGTATTCTAAATTTATTGTTAATGTTTTGACAAAATCAATTATTTAAAACAAATAAAGCCTGATTCAAATAAGTAAAAGATGAATTTAAAGATCGATTAAAGAAAATATTAATTAAAAACAAAGACTAAATCAGTCAATATTGTTCTAAGCTGTACTAGCCTTACTTCTATTAATGTCATAGGATTTATGAACGTCTTTTGTACTAAAAACATGAATAGCTAAAGGAGTTTTTGTTTATGCTAACTAACTAAAGGCGAGTATGAAATATTCTAGATATTTTCAATTAGACTATGACTACATCGCAATTTTATCCTAGAAACAATTATAAATAAAATCAGCACGGTTAAGAACTTTTAACGCCCGTGCACCAAATTAAATAAAAAGTGAGGTAAGGTTAGATAGGTTAGGTTACTCAAAGACTAATATAGAAGAATTGTCATTTTTTATAAATTAGGAAGATATTTCAAATCTGTTGTTGGTGTTTTATTCATAGGTATTCTATATTCGTTTATATAATATGTAATATTGTTATGTGCCCGGACTTCGTATGGTGGATAAGTTAAATAATGAACAACTTTTGCTAGAATAGCAACACTGAATTCACGAAGAAATAATTAGCTGTTTCATACAAAATTGTAATGCTTCCAATCGCCAAGAGTATGAAACAGCTTTTTGTAAATTCAGTGTTGATTTCCTAGCATATGTTCAGTATAGTTAACTCATCCACCTCACCTGGCATCCTGACACATAATAATCTTATACCTTACATATATAGAATCTCAGAAGGACGCATTTCTTGTGACAACTGACAGTTAAATAAGAACTTTTTTATTCTAGGGCAAATGAAGTTACATTTGAACATATTAGTGATAATTACGGACGCCACCCACAGCTTTAACAAAGCTTGTGGTATAATAATGCTGATATTAGTTAATATGAATCAGGCTTTAGCAAAACATTGTTAGAATGTGCAAATAAACAATAATGGACTAGAATGTACGCATTGGGTAAAAACAATATTGCAGCTTATTATTATATGTAAAAAATAATCGCTTAGGAATTTATAATTATAAATTATTATAAGTAAGCGTACACGCCAATCCTCTACCTCAATCACGATGTCATGGCACTATCACGATTTCAAGTTTCACATTTCTTTCATTATGTATTTAGGGCAGAATATTCTTAACCGCAGATTTACAATAAAAGATGTGGACAATATTTCAAATCTTGGTTGTTTTCAAAAATGATAACAACCAAGATTTAAAACAACCAACTATTGTTTATTAAGGAAGATCTCTTTCTTAATAAACAATAGTTTCTGTTACTGTTAAAGCTGAAAAGCTGGAAATTTTATACTTTTGTTGTTTGTATGACTAACAGAATGAGTCTTCGCGAGCTCTATTATAGCCAAATTGGTATGCGAGTGATCATCACCGTCAGTTGTATGGTCATCGTGATGGAGATTTACATGCGGTGTGAATGAGGCGAGAGTGCAATGGAGGCCACTTACTACTTACCGCGGCCCGGCTCGCCGTCTACCGCCTCCATAGCCTGCACAGCTGTCACCACACGCGGTATACCTGCACACATTTTTTTTACGTTAACAATGACACTGATAGAATACGTATTTATACCTCATCGTCAGAATAGAACTAGTAGTGACAAGAATCGGTAAGAAATATGTAGTCAGGGTTGTTTATTTTTTGGTTCATATTGATCTTAATAATATTGATAATAAAAATAATTAATCTTTATATGGTGCAGTAAATAAGTACAAAATCAATTGTACGTTAATAACTGCATTAGTTCAAGATTGTTTCAGGAATAAGCGCCCACCTCGATCAAATGACAAATAAAAAGTCACTAATAAAGCAAAATACATAATAAAACGAACGATAATTATACAACATAATCACATCAACTTATTTTTTTATACAGATAATAAAAAAAAGATACTTAATAAATGATTCGACATCGATATTATATTTTAGTAACTATCCATTTAAAATATGTTTACATACTCGAAGTGGGAGAGTTATAAATTTAATTAGTATGTTTAGTCGGCCACAATAGCACAAGATAAAATTCCTAATCACGCCTTTTGCTTGTTTTTCTTCTTCGTTAATTACTTTTTTCAAACACCCGTGCCTGTTTGTATGACTTATCACCCTGCAATAACACTCAATTAGTGGAAGTAGAGTCTTGGCCTTCTCCACTTCTACATCCTTAAGATAAAATTGTTATCTTTTATTTGTCATTCAGAACGGTTGCAGTAGAGGAGTAGAATAATATTCCTTAGACAGCTATCCAAAACATCATGGATAGGTTTCCTAAGCCTATTCAAGAAATTATCAGGATTTGGAGACGAATCACTCGTTATAGAAAAAAAAAACTGTATTTTTACGTAAATTCAAAGGCTAATTTTTAAATAGTATTTACTGAATAATATATATATATATCAAACGTTTATTTTTTCTTTTTATTTAAATGTCAAAATATATTTTAAAATTATCTTAATAGTTTTCCAATATCCAAAAAAAAAACGGGTGAGCGGTATTGTTGTTTGTATAAAGCAAATAAATATTGGTATTATTGTAGTGTATTTTCTAAAGGTATCGGTGTTACTCACGTATGCACGGCGCAATGTGGCTCCTGGACTGCTGGTACCCTTTAGCGCAGCGGTTGCAGGTGGTGCCGGTGACGCCATCCTTGCACGGACACTGACCGCTCGTCTGGTTACAAATCTTGCCACTAGCTCCCACTGGGTGACAGTCGCATGCTGTAAATATGTAACATATATATAATCCCGCGTAATGTTTTCTTCTGAAACTTCAATAGTCTTCATTTATTTATTCATTTCACAAATCAAATGTCACAAGTATAATAGATGTTACATTGGATTACAGTTAGTGTGACATCCTGTTAGGGTGTAGCAATTGTATATAGCATAAATAACAATTAATAATCCATAACAATATCACTAATTCAGTTCAACAGTCTAACATACATAGAGTCCTAACTTATTATTGGGAGGTCACTTTATTATATGTTTATTTTATAATAATTTAATTAGTTTGGGCTCTTATCCTCAAAGAATTCCGAGACACTATAATAGCTTTTGTTTATAAGAAATTATTTCAAATGATTTTCAAAAGCTTTTGTTTTTTCGAGCTCTTTAATGTAATTTGGTATTTGATTGTGTTCTTTGAAATAGTGAAAAGATATATGGTATGAGCATCGTGTTTGGACAGCTGCTAGGACAAAAATACAAACTTTATTAGGTCTACCATGTCCTTCTAGTCAGGCAGCAGGGATAGTGCACAGTGTATTTTATTTCAGGATTTGTCCTAAAAACTCAGTATTCAGGACTGCAGCAGCATTATTATATTAGGATATCACAGGATTTTTCGATTATAGTTCTATTTTAAATGCTTGTACATTTAATGTGCTTCAATAAGTTTACTTGAATGAACAATATTTTTTAAAGTATTTATTATTATGTGTTAAAAGTATACAAATGAGCTCAATAATTATCTACAATGATCCCGAAGATCGTATAAATCCGGATGTTAAAGGTTATTTGGCGATCTAAGTAGCAACTCAATTATATAAAAGTAGTGTCCGGGCACACGGGTCGCCTATTTCAGCTTATTTGTCTATGCTCCTATGAAAGTAAATACAGAACGTCTGCTTCACGGAACTATGAAAAACAGCGACTTACACTTACAAGAATAAGAAAGATTTTCTAAGATTTCTTCTATATTACTTGTTTATTTTGATAAATGTTTGTTTATTTAACCTTGGGTAGATAGTTTTTTTTTTAAATATGAAAACTCAAAAAATAAATTTGCGTCTAAGAATTTCGCAAACCGAATTATCGCGCGTTCTTTATTGTTCTATAATTCTATGGAGAATACCTACAGGTTAACCTTAGAAGTAGGGACAATAACTACAAACATTGATGGTGAAAAGGAATCCATATAACATACTTAAAAACCGAGAAAATGTATTTTCATTTATCCCGGTAAACTTTTACAAACTTTCCATAACGACATGTAACGTTTTGCTACCCCAAAATCCAAAAACTATGATATAAAGAGAGCGGCTAACCTGGTTAAATCATATATCTACAAACAAATTGCATTCCATCTTATGAAAAATTCTTAGCGAACTTTCTGTGGTATCAATTTCTTAGTTTACCCGGTTCAAAAGCCAGTCGTTTCGCTTGCCCGGTTAAGCGATTTCGAGGTGCAAAATATGTTCGGGGCGCCCTAGTTTATTGCGGCCAATGACTGACAAATGGCGTAGTTCGCTCTTTTTCGGTGGTCGTTACGGCGAGAGCGAAAACAAAATTGGTATTGTATTGCGAACGACGTGGTTTGTTTACGCTGATAGTCCTATGAATAGCAAATAAAAGTAAGGATGTTTACAGATCTCTTTCCCTATTACGGACAAGTGGATTTTCTACGAAATATATAAAATACCCATAAATTGACATAGCGCCGAGCCTGGGCGGCACTAGCGTGTAGGACATTTGGTTGTAAATACGCATTATATGTACGTTAAAATCAGGACTGGGTGTAAATGCATCCGCTATAAGGCCCTGATGATATGATAAGATAACTTCTGTATCTAAGTTCTCCTAAGCCATCCATAAGGAAGGCCTGAGCCTCTGCAGTGGGGATGTAAAAGGGCTGATGATGATATGTTTCTTAGTTATTTACACAATTGAAACCCAGTTGGACAGAAGTCAACCTAAATTTAATTTATATGTGAAACAGAATTGCTAAAAGATCGGTCTGCTAAATTTACTCGTCTCGTTTTATTATTTAAAGTCATATTCTATAGCATTCGAAACAAATCATTATTTCCAATGTGCTTAAAAGTAATCAAAATAAATGAAAGTTGTACAGTCAACAGCACGTCGGGTTATACGAAATAGTAAATATCTTAAAATGTTGAGGGTAGATGTCAAAATCTGTTGCATAAATTTAATATATTGTGGTAATTTGCCGAGCAGTCGTGTGAAAGAATGTGAATTAAAAAAATCGTTGAGATCTCATGTGTAAAATGCGAAGAAGGTTTTCCCCACCTCATAAAAATTCCTGATAGTTCTTTTGAAGAGAAAGAAGAGAGAAAATATACTGCAATATTATTTCATGTCATTCTTGCACACTCTTCTATAAAATTTACAAAGACAATCCTACGATTTTCCACAAAAACAAACTTCCTCCTAGACATCGATCATGACCACCCTCTATTTTCACAGCGCACTAGCAAAACATCGTGACCCAATCAAAAGCGGCAATAGCCGGGTACGAATGCCGACGACCGACCGGGTGTAAATAGCCCGGGGCCCGCGGGAGCTATTGGGCAGGCCCTCTTTATGGGGCCACACTATCCACTCGGTTATTCTTATTTTTATGGGGTCCCAATGTTTTGGTTCGTTTTCCTATATTTGAAATGTTACTCCTGACTTTATAAGGTGACTATTTCTTGAGATTTTGGATATTTATTTACTAAAAAAAGAGATACGAATATATTTTTTGCATTATATAAAATTGTCGTTGAACTTTCGCACATTATACGGTACAAAGTTTGCAGTGTTAGTTGGTTTATGATAAATTTGGAATTCGTAATACTGTAAGATACAACGTAATCTGTGAGCTAATTCTCTAATTACGAAATCTAGCGTGATCCTTTAAAAAGTAAAAGGGAAGAAAATATAAAAGCGATTTATGGAATTATGTATTTTTAAAGTTGCAATCGAGTTTGGAACGATTGATGCTTTGAATGATCAAGAAACATAATAAAAAGTATAATAACCCGTTGATAGATTGCAGTTAGCATACAACTATAGCGTTAAAAATATTTGTCTAAGACAATTAACATAAACGATATCGTTAATTCAATAGCAGAAGTTTGTGATTATCTTTTGAATATCAAATTTAAAGAGATTGCAATACATTTTAAAAGAAGATAAAATAGCCCCTCGAATCGAAGAAAAGCATACCAACAAACAATTTTTAGCAAGCTTACATAAAAAGCTTTATGCTTTAATACACAACCTTTAAAAGTGTTTTAACTGCATGTTTAACTTATAAATTATATCAGAGCATGGCATTAACCAATGCCTTTCCGACATAAAAATGTCCACGTATTTAGAATAAGCTAAATAATTTTATTGATTAATAAAACGATTAATTGCACTATGCGATGTTCTATATGATATAAAAAAAATTATGTCGTTGTTTTTTGAAAATAAAATCTTCAAATTATGATATAATTGTTGTCGTTTAAGTGACCCTTATATCTTAGTATAATAGTTGGTAACGTAATAAGATGTCCTATTATCATATTATAAACAACTCTGTGATTCAGTGTTACTTAATAGTTGATAGGAGCCGGGCACAGGAGGTTAGCACACTCGGCCTGCGATATGGTTGTTAAGGAATTTCAAAAATTTCCCGGGCTCCTTCCGTGCTTCGGAAGGCATTTTAAGCCGTTGGTACCGGCAGCACCTACAGTCGTTAACAACAACCCGCAAGGGGTCCGCGTGGTTGGGTTGGTCATGGCCTATTCTCCCTATTCGTTTTGATTTCATTCCATCCACAGGGAAGGCCTTAACCTCAGCATTGGAGACAATAACAGGTGATGATGATTATGAATAAATATAGTTGCTAATTTTATGGGTAATAAAATAAAGCAATAAAAAAATGTATTAATAGAATAATTAATAAGTAATGAAAAGTGCAGTGGTTAGCATGTTCGGTATATGATGCAACGTAACATATTCGTAGTTTTTTTATTTTGCCGAGATTTTTTTATCTTATAATTTATCATCATCCATAAGTATTCTATTTTAGTTTCACGGATCACTGATAAGTAATGGTAACTCTTTAAAATAACTGCTTGCCACTATTTAAAAACTATTGTATAAACCATTATAATTTGTTTCCGCAAATATGAAACAAAATTTCATTCCTGCTCATAGGTAATTAGCATATAATTAATGTATCACATTCATCTACAGTGTTATTAATAAACAAGGTTTAGCATTGGAGTAACGATGAAACTGCACTTAGTGTTAGTTTACAAAATTCATATTATTAAACAGAGACTTAGCAAAGGTTAAACTAGTACGAGGTTTACGGGAGTAATATTCACTCATAGAAGGCAGTAGGTTTGTTTATTCTCTGTAAAGTATGAATTTGGACTAATATCAAAATTTCAATTTTAGCGTAAATTAACTCAGGCGCTAAACTTTGTTTATTAATAGAATCAAATCAAATAAATTCAAATTCTTTTATTCAGTCTGGGTTTATATATAGCACTTGTGGAAGTCGAAAATAAATATATATATACAGCACTGATGGATATTAAGATATTGATATTTTAAATGTGTTTTTTACTTTGTAGCCAAAGATTAATATTGATCGATTTAATAATAAAATTGATTTCGAGTTATTATGTGATCAATTATTATTTTTTGGCACTTCATTTAACGCTATTAAGCCATCATCCATCTCTGTTTGTCTTATATGTTAACTTATATGTCTCAATAAGCCAGTCATTATTGTTTTTCATACTTATAGTAACGGGTATTAGATGCGATTTTTATTTGTTTTTATAGCAGTAACGCAGATGTTTATAGTGAGTCCCTAGGCTTACAATAATATCTTAAAAACTCTCATTTAAAAAATGGTATTAGTATCACTTATCAGAAGTTGTTAAGCACTATATTTAGTGCTAATTACCTATAAGGCTATTGCCTTGCCGGGCTATTTTACACAATATGTTCCTTTTTTTGCTTTGTTTATTCTTTTTGTCCAATATTGTTAACTTAAGTACATAAGTATTAACATTGCATATTTTAATATATGGTAATATCCTCCTAATGTTGTTGTACTCTCAAATTTATGAAACAAAATTGTAACGTTTGAATTTGACAAACATAGGAGCTCATATTATATTATTGTTAATTATTCTTATATTTTATAGGCACTATAGGTCTATTATAACTTCAACAATTTACAAAAAATATTTTCTAGCAATAAAACGAATGCTACATATTTATATCCTTATAAAAACGTTGGCTTTGAACATCTTAATGAATATTTCTAACAATAGCTATGTGATTTTATTTCTTTGCTTGAATAATTTTTAATTTAAGATGAAGTTAAGTGGCTTGTTAGGAAGTTTTAACAATCGAACTCTCGTAAACTGACTAATGATCTCAATGTCTGAACCATTTCTAACTTTCTTCTTTCAATTGACCACAATATTGTGAAAAGTTTGTTAATGATTCAATAATGTATTGGACCATGCCTTATAATATCTCGTGCAGTTGTATTTATTCTACCTTATATGTATTTACTCAATGAGATTAAATAAATATTAGGTAGAAAATATTTTGTTGGGAACTTTTATCATTAAAATTTGATGTTGTGACAGTACATTTCCTTTTTGTGAAATAGAATTGCTTGTGTAGGTCGGCAGTATTCATTTTATTCACTAAATAAACAAATGCATTCATATTTACATTTTTTCTCCTGTAACTTAATGTTTTTTTTGTCCTAGTTATGGGACTTAGTGGCATACTCAAGAGTGTAGAAACATGGTTAAGTCGTCGAAGTCAGCGCTAGGTATTATTAGTTTACTTATTATAGTAAGATTAAAACATATACTTACGTTTACAAGCTTTCTTGTGAGAAATAGGCTTGCTCGGGTCGCGATAATATCCCTCGCGGCAGTAGTGGCAGTGCCGGCCGGCGGTGTAGTGCCGACACTTCATGCAGACACCGCCGGACTCACGGCCGGACATTTTGTATAACTCCATGTTGAAGCGACATCGACGGGCATGGCCATTACAGTTGCATTCTGCGAAATAAAAGAAAAAAATGACAACAATATGAGTAATTATAAATATGAATTAATTAAAGTTATTAGTCAGAGTACGATTCTTACAAAGTTCTTTTAGATCCAAATTACTCAAATGGGATGTAAATGTACGTTAAATTGAAGCTGTACTCGTATACTAAGTATATAACAAAGGAAAAGTATTGTACAATAGTAGCTCGGTGGCGTAGTGGATAAGCAACTTTCGCAAGGGTCGGTCACGGGATGGGTGACCAAAAAATTTTTATCTCGAGCTACTCCGTGCTTCGGAAGGCACGTAAAGCCGTTGGTCCCGGCTGCATTTGCATTAGTTAATACCCTCCAATCCTCATTAGGCCAGCGTGGAGGGTCATGGCCCATCCTCCTTAAATAACCATCCATAAGGAAGGCCTGAGCCCTTGTGGTGGGGACGTAAAAAGGGCTGATGATGATGAAAACAATGTTAACGTTCATCATTGTTAATTAAGACAGACAAATTTACCTACCAGAAAAACATTTAAGTTTTACCCACACCAACATAAAAATTATTTCCATCAACAAAAGATCCTTGATTTTAACATTTTACTTTTATTTTATGTCTTTATGCCCCACACTCCACAAAAGACCTGTCATAACCAAAATTAGTATGTCAACATACGATCAATTTATTATCTTCAGTTTCCTCTAAAGAGCATTCATAAATCAAAGACGAAAATCTATTAAGAGGATTGCGTAAGCGCACATATTTTCGTATTGCGTTTACGCCTGTGTGACAATGGCCGATAAATGTCATGTTTGATAGTTCGAGAGAGGGTAGATGCATTCAAATAACTTGTGTCATTTGTATAATCACGTGCAAAAGTGATATATAAGAAATTTTAAAGGTATAACAAGATTTAAAAGAAAAACACTTTGTAATACATAGGTTATGTTAGAAATTAATAATAGAATGAGACAAAATTAAAAAATAAAATTATAACAAAAAAGTTTTTTATAAACAAACTTATTTGCGCGCACTAAAACGTAAATAATATTTTTTATTTATTTTTTTTAAATAATACCTTTCACTCAGTCTGTAAAAAATCTTGGTGTCATATTTGATTGCAATATGTCTTGGAGCCTTCATGTCCGAGAGATTAGTAGGAGGGTATTTGGTGCATATAGCTCACTTAAGCGACTTAGGAATCTTTTGCCGACTAAGACTAAAATCACTCTTGCTCAGTCACTTCTTCTCCCTTTGCTTGACTACGCTGATTCATGTTATACAGACCTAAGTGTCGTTTTCCTAAATAAACTTGAGCGACTGCAGAATTTGTGTATCCGTTTTGTCTTTGGTCTACGTAAGTATGATCATATTTCTGATTATCGTACCCAACTTCAGTGGCTACCTATCTCTCGTAGAAGAGACTGTCATATCCTATCACTCCTATATTCCATCCTGTTTCACCCACACACACCGCATTACCTCAAAGAGCGCTTCGTCTTTCACTCTACGAATCTTACCCGAGATCTGCGGTCTTCCTATAATTTATCTTTAGTCATGCCTTCCCACAATACTGATTTCGTAGCCAAGTCATTTACAGTTAAAGCAATCAAACTATGGAACTCTCTGCCTATAGATATCAGACGCGCGCAATCACGGAACTCATTCAATAAATTGATAAAAGAATATTTCCTCAATCTGGACTATTCCTCTTGAACTTCCAATCTATTACTTTACTATCGTAAGTTTTATTTATATATTTGCACTTTATACGTTCTCGTGTGTTGTTTCCCCTATTGCACTAACCCGCAGTTAATTTTTCTTTATTGGTATCATTTCCTTTAGCCTAGGGTCGCCTGGTAGAGATTGCTACCTTAGCAATAAGGCCGCCTTTTGTGTTACTGAATCTAGTTTTATGTACCTTTCTTACTGTATTTCATAGTGCAATAAAGAATATTCAATCAATCAATCAATCAATAATATTTTTATGCAAGACAAGTTCATAACGTAAATGTTAAAGTAATTATAACAAAAATTTTTTCAAACAATATAGGTAATTGACTTGAAAAACTTGTAGCGAAATCACAGTTTACATAATTAACAGTTGAAATCGGTGACAAGGAAATAGACATATTTTTTACGTTTTAATGCGCAAAAATAAATGCTTGTTTTTATTTTTTTCTTTCTAACTAACACATAAATATACGAAGCGATGCAAAGATACGTGAACAGTTTTTAACATCTTACTTTATGACAAAACTTCTAGCCGTCAGCTTTAATTTAGCAAATTGCACTTCTACGTTACACATAAAAAGGCCAAAACCGGGTCATCTACCCTACATATATTGTAGCCATTTTCAATTTCAAATATATGTATATATATATATATATATATATATATATTTTATATTACCTATTTTATTTATCCTATACACATATTGTTTTGTACAGAGCTGTTCACAGATTGATATAAAGCAGTTATGTTATTGTGTGCACGTCATGCCTGCGCACGCGTACGCCCCTACCACGTAAACCTGTCAACACGTGCGCCGCTAAAAGCATAATGTTACATAACAGATGGCATTGGAAAATATTACCGGTCGCCTTTGTATCATGTGAACTTTATGCGTTAGATGTCTGAAGAATGGTGTTTTGTTTGCTTATACGGAATTACATATAATTCTGTTTTCAATCTAATAAGAAGGTAGTGGGAACTGGTTGATGTATTAAACACAATCAAGGTGCAGTTTAAAGCCATAATTAAAATTGAAATATTAAGTTTGCGTCGTAAAAATATTGACTTTTACGACAAATTAATACATCAATTTGACTTTATTAAGTTACGTGAAAACTTAACTTTTATGCACCTACCTACCTATTCTTCTTGATTGTGTTATTTAAGTTATTTCCTTTCTCCTATCGTTTTTCTTAAATTGTATATAATGATATATTATTCATCCTGAAGTTTTAACGTTATCAGCTACATCATTGTTCAAGTTTAAAAAATAAATTAATACATTTTCTGTGTCAAAACCTCATCTCTAACGAACCGTAGCCGTATTAAGGTCCCAAATAAATTTTCGTTCCATGTTGACGTATCCGATTAGCCGACGGACGAACAAATGCGTCATTTATTTCTTTTTTTATTCCCGAGCACGCGCGTCCGCTGGCGAAAGAAGTTTCGGAAGCTACTGCTCACGTAGAAATCAAATACTAAACATTATTCAAATAGCACTCTTATTGGCCCAACAATAAGGTACAAGGTTAATGTGAAAGTGGGGGCAACGAAATTAGCCACTTTTGTGATCGCCGTCAATGAAATAGTACGTGTTCTCCTTGATTTCTTTCCAGGCGTATTCCTTCTTTTCCTTTTGGGATGTTAACACGATTTAGCTGACAGTGCGATCCGATTATAAATGAAACTTTTCCTGGTACCGTTTGATGGCACGTTCGGTTAACTAGAGTTTAACTAAACTATAGTTAGTTTGCTAAGAAAACGTGCTCACTGGTGATTAAATCGTTTTTCAAGTAAACGAGAACCGTAAGAAGTAAACTTATATTAATGATCATTACCCATAGACTGTAGCCATGAAAAGGGTTTAGAAACATTTTAATTTAGCATTTAAAATTTTAATTTGACATTTACAAGTAATTATTTTCTGTATCAGTTTTAAGTATTTCCATTACCTTTATAAAAAAAAGGATAAAAAAGTTACCGTTAAACTTAGGTATGGGACACTTATTCAGCTACCAGAGACCCTCGATATTTGAAGTGTTTTTATACTATTTAAAATATAATGGCAATTTGAATGCAAAATTTACCAAATATAATATTTTATTTAATAAAAAAAAAAAACAGGGAAATGTGTCAAATAAATTGTATAATTATCAATATAGGACCGAAAAACATCACCTCTGGCAAGATATTAACACGCGTCTTCGCCCGCGTTAGTTATAGCCTATGTCACCCGCGTATGATGTTACTTACGTTGGTGAAAGAACTTTTAAAATCGGTCCAGTAGTTTCGGAGTCTATGCAATGGAAACAAAGAAACAATCAAATCTTTCCCTTTTATAACATTAAAGTAGATATACATTTTAAAGTGAAAGTATCTTAAATTAAATTCCTTCGTATGTTTTCTAATGAAAATCTCAACGATATTCTTACAATATTCCTAAAGTTTCGAACACATTCAACTGACAATGTAATTATAATTTCATCTATATTATAACACTTAATCATTGGGACCCCTTTAGGTTCAGAACATATAAATTGTATTATTCCATCTAAAGTCAGACGTCGTCAACCTAAGAGAGTTTAACTTTATCTAACGGGCGGGTGAGTCTAAATTGCTATACGTGACGTAACGAGTTTATTAATTAAATCAATCCTCGCTCTCGCTATGATATCAGGCGCTTAATTACTGAAAAGGTTCAACACCCCTGTTACAATCATAATTTTGAGCACATTAAGAACCCTTGTAAGGGAGGTTTTTACATAGAACTTAAAATTGAAGTAAAACATAGATAAGCGTATTAATTGCCATGAATTTAGCGTTATTCTAAGTAAAAGTAATTCTTTATTATTATATACATTAGCTTTTCTTCCTCGCAAACTTAACCTTATGTCACCCGCGTATTATGTAGCCTCCCATAGGTATTTTTCTTAAATCAATGCAGACAATTCTGGTGTATGACTATTTCTGCTTGGAGCAGGCTCCTATCATGAATTTCCATTTCTTCTGAATTTCACAAGCAAAGGCTGTTTGAAGCAAAAGCTCATTTGAAGTTAAAAACAGAGTACATTAAATAAGCCTGAAGGGTTTTAGTGTGATTAGGGTCGTCATTATATATTTCAACACCGTTGTCTCATGGTTATTTTGTAAAATGACGCTGTTTGTGCTCTTTATGGATATACTTCAAAATAACCTCGATAAAAACTTAATTAATATTTCGAAGCAAAATTACAA